CTGTTCATGGTGTATGGTCCTTTTAATTTATTGTTGAATTCAGATTGCTAGTATTTTGCTGAGGATTTTTGCATCTATGGTCATCAGTGATATTGGCCTGTAACTGTCTTTTTTGTGGTATCTTTGTTTAGTTTTGGAATCAGAGTGATGGTGGCCTCATAGAATGACTTTAGGAATGTTCCTTCTTCTGCAATTTTTTGGAATAGTTTCAGAAGAAAGTATTAACTCTTCCTTAAATGTTTGATAGAATTCACCTGTGAAGCCATCTGACCATGGACATTTACTTGTTGGGAGTTTTTTTTTAATCACAGTTTCAATTTCAGTACTGTGATTGATCGTTCATATTTTCAATTTCTTCCTCACTTAGTCTTCAGAGATTGTACCTGTCTAAAAATTTTTTCCATTTCTTCTAGTTTATCCATTTTTTTGGCATACAGTTGCTTGTAGTAGTCTCTTATGATCCTTTGTATTTCTGTAGTGTCAGGTATATCTCCTCTTTTTTCATTTCTGATTTTATTGATTTAAGCCCTCTCCTTTTTTTTTTTTTTTTTTTTTTTTTTTTTTGTGGTACATGGGCCTCTCACTGTCGTGGCCTCTTCCATTGTGGAGCACAGGCTCCAGACACACAGGCTCAGCAGCCATGACTCACTGGCTTAGCCGCTCCGGGGCATGTGGGATCTTCCCTGAGCAGGGCATGAACCCGTGTCCCCTGCATCGGCAAGCGGATTCTCAACCACTGCACCACAAGGGAAGCTCTGCCTTTTTTTCTTAATGAGTCTGGCTAAAGGTTTATCAATTTTTTTATCTTTTCAAAAAGCCAGCTTTTAGTTTCATTGATCTTTTCTATTGTTTTCATCATCTCTGTTTCATTTATTTCTGCTCTGATCTTTATGATTTCTTTCCTTTTACTAACTTCGGGTTTTGTTTGTTCTTCTTTCTCTAGTTGCTTTAGATGTAAGGTTAGGTTGTTGGAGATTTTTCTTGTTTCCTGAGGTAAGATTGTATTGCTATAAACTTACCTCTTAGAACTGCTTTTGTTGTACCCCATAAGTTTTGGATGATCATGTTTTCATTTTCATTTATCTCTATGTATTTTTTTATTTCCTCTTTGATTTCTTTAGTGACCCATTGGTTGTTTAGCAGCACATTGTTTAGGCTTCACATGTTTGTGTTTTTTGTAGTTTTTTCTTGTAGTTGATTTGTCATCTCATAGCATCGTGGTTGGAAAAGATGCTTGATATGATTTCAATTTTCTTAAATTTACCAAGGATTGATTTGTGACCCAAGATGTGATCTATCCTGGACAATGTTCCATGTGCCCTTTAGAAGAATGTGTATTCTGCTGCTTTTGGATGGAATGCTCTGTAAATATCAATTAAGTCCATCTGATCTAATGTGTCATTTAAGGCCTATGTTTCCTTATTGATTTTCTCTCTGGATGATCTGTCCATTGATGAAAGTGGGGTGTTAAGGTCCCCCAGTATTATTGTGTTACTGTCGATTTCTCCTTTATTGGCTGTTAGTATTTGCCTTATATATTGAGGTGTTCCTATGTTGGGTGCATACATATTTACAATTGTTATGTCTTCTTGGATTGTTCATTATGTAGTGTCCTTCTTTGTCTCTGATAACAGCTTTTATTTTAAAGTCTATTTTGTCTGATATGAATATTGCTACTCCAGCTTTTTTTTAAATTAATTTATTTATTTATTCATTTTTGGCTGCACTGGGTCTTCGTTGCTGAGCACAGTCTTTCTCTAGTTGCAGTGAACGGGAGCTACTCTTTGTTGCCGTGCACAGGCTTCTCGTTGCGATGGCTTCTCTTGTTGCCGAGAACAGGGTCTAGGTGCATAGGCTTCAGTAGTTGTGGCATGTGGGCTCAGTAGTTGTGGCTCATGGGCTCTAGAGTGCAGGCTCAATAGTTGTGCCACCTGGGCTTAGTTGCTTCACCGCATGTGGGATCTTCTAGGAATAGTGCTCGAACCCATGTCCCCTGCATTGGCAGGCAGATTCTTAATCACTGTGCTACCAGGGAAGTCCCTCCAGCTTTCTTTTGATTTCCATTTACATGGAGCACATTTTTCCATCCCCTCACTTTCATTCTGTATGTGTTCCTAGACCTGAGTTTGGTCTCTTGTAGACAGCATATATATGTGTCTTGCTTTTGTATCCATTCAGCCAGTCTATGTCTTTTGGCTGGAGCATTTATTCTGTTTACATTTAAGGCAATTATTGATATGTATGTTCTTATTGCCATTTGTTAATTGTTTTGGATTTGTTTTTATAGGTCTTTTTTCTTCCCTTCCTCTTTTGCTCTCTTCTCTTGTGATCTGATGTCTAACTTTAGTGTTGTGTTTGGATTCCTCTTTCTTTTTTGTGTGTATGTCTATTGTAGATATTTGAAGATACTATGTAGATACTATGATATTTGTAGATACTATGAAATTTTGATATAGCAGTCTATATATATACAAGATTAAGTTGCTTGTCTTTTAATTTCAAATGCATTTTCAATATCCTACATTTGTACTCACCTCTTCTCACAAATGCTGGTTGTAATATATTTGTGTGTGGATGATTTCCTACTTTAACTGTATGCCTTTACCAGTGAGCCTTTCCATTCTTAATTTTCTTGTATCTATTTATGGCCTTTTCTTTTCCACCTAGAGACTTCCTTTAGCATTGTTGTAAAGCTGATTTGGTGGTGCTGAATTATATTAGCTTTTGCTTGTCTTTAAAGCTTTTGATTTCTCTGTTGAATCTAAATGAGAGCCTTGCTGAGTAGAGTATTCTTGGTTTTAGGTTTTTCCCTTTCATCACTTTAAATATATCATGCCACTCCCTGCTGGCCTGCAGAGTTTCTGCTGAAAAATCAGCCAATAACCTTACGGGGATTCCTTTGTATGTTATTTGTTGCTTTTCCCTTGTTGTTTTAAATATTTTCTCTTTGTATTTAATTTTGGTCAATTTGATTAATATGCATCTTGGTGTGCTCCTCCTTGGGTTTATCCTTCCTGGGACTCTCTGCACTTCTTAGACTTGGGTGACTGTTTCCTTTCCCGTGTTAGGAGAGTTTTCAGCTATTATCTCTTCAAATATTTTCTCAGGCTCTTTCTCTCTCTCTTCTCTTTCTGGGACCCGCTATAATGCAAATGTTGGTGCATTTAATGTTGACCCAGAGGTCTCTTAAACTGCCCTCATTTGTTTTCATTCTTCTTTCTTTATTCTATTCTCTGGCAGTATTTCCACCATTCTGTCTTCCAGCTCACTTATCTGTTCTTATGCCTCATTTATTCTGCTATGGATTCCTTCTAGTGTATTTTTCCTTTTGGTTATTGTATTGTTCATCTCTGTTTTTTATTCTTTATATCTTCCAGCTCTTTGCTAAACATTTCTTGTATCTTCTTGATCTGTGCCTCCATTCTTTTTCCAAGATTTTGGATCATCTTTACTATCATTACTCTGGATTCCTTTTGGCTAGATTGCTTATCTCCTCTTCACTTAGTTATTCTTCTGGGTTTTTTTCTTGTTCCTTCATCTGAAACGTATTCTTTTGCTGTCTCACTTTGTCTAACTTTCTGTGACTGCACTTTCCGTTCCATAGGCTGCAAGGTTGTAGCTCCTCTTGCTTCTGGTGTCTCCCCACTGATGGGTGAGGCTGGTCTAAGAGGCTCATGCAGGCTTCCTGGTGGGAGGGACTGGTGCCTTCCCACTAATGGATGGAGATGGTGGGCAGGGCCATGTCCAGAGGTGTGTTTATTATTTTTCTATTGAAGTATAGTTGATTTACAGTATTGTACCAATCTCTGCTGTACAGCAAAGTGTCTCAGTTTTACACATACATAAATTCTTTTTTAACAATATTCTTTTCCATTATGGTTTATCACAAGAGATTGGATATAGTTCCCTGTGCTATACAGTAAGACCTTGTTGTTTATCCATTCTAAATGTAATACTTTGTATCTACCAACCCCAAATACCCAGTCCATGTCTCTCCCTCCTCCCCTCCCCTTTAGCAACCACAAGTCTGATCTCTATGTCTGTGAGTCTGTTTCTGTTTTGTATATAGAAGGGGTGTGTTTAGAAGTGGCTGTGGGCTTAGGAAGATTTTAGGCAGCCTGCCTGATGATGGGTGGTGCTGTGCTCCTGCCCTGTTGGTTGCTTGGCCTGAGGCGTCCCAGCACTTGATCCTACAGACTGTAGGGTGTCAACACGTCTTGGTGACAAAGTGGCAACCTCCAGGAAAGCTCAGGCCAATGAGTACTCCCTGATACCTCCACCACCAGTGTCCTTGTCCAACACAGTGAACCACAGCCAACACCCCCACCTGCCCAGGAGACTACAAGACCAGCAGGTAGGTCTGGTCCAGGCTCCTATGAACTCACTGCTTTTTCCCTGGGTCCCAGTGAGCATGAGAATGGAGTTCCAAGAATGGAGTTTCTGTTTCCCCCAGCCCTGTGGAGCTCCTGTCATCAAGCCCCACTTGCCTTCAAAGCCAAATGCTTTGGGGGATTTTCCTGCCAGTGCCAGGCCCCCAGGCTAGGGATCTTGACATGGGGCTCCAAACTCTCACTCCTGTGGGAGAACCTTTGTGATATAATTATTTTCCAGTTTGTGGGTCATCCACCTGGTGGGTGTGGGATTTGATTTTATCATGATTGCACCCCTCTACTGTCTTATTGTGGCTTCTTTGTCTTTGGATATAGAATATCTTCTTCGGTAGGTAGGTGTTTTGTGAGAGCAGTTGTACTCAAGCCCTTCTACTCCACCATCTTGTCTCCAACCCTTACTCCAATACAGATGTTTAAAAAAAGAATGAAATCAAATCAGACCAATTAACTCTAAATTAGCGGATCAGTCACCTAACTTCCCACTCTCAAGATGACCAAAAGCACTTCATATGAAGAAGTGACATCCATTTAGGGTAAAATTTTATTAAGTGTGCAGGTAAGCTGCACACTTATATTTATTGGAAGCAACCCTGTTATACTGATACATACCATTTTCCTCAACTCCTCATTGGAAACAATAATGACATTTGGTGGGTCCCCAATGGCAGTGGCAGCTCCTCCAATGTTTGTGAAGATCACTTCTGCAATCAGGACTTGTCTTGGATCAAGATTGAGCACCTCACACAATCTGTCATGAATGGAGGAAAATGAAAACAGTCCTGCTATTCACATTGTGAATTGCCCATGTGAGACTTAAATTATTTTAAAGCGTTTGCTTGTACAAGGGAGGCTTGTGTGTGCATGTGCTTGTGCACATGTGCACGCACACTCACACACCTGTGAGAAGGGCAATGTTGAGGGGTAAAAAACGACAACAGTGCTACAGAGCTACTGGATAAATTTGACTCTCAGCATTAGATTTCTCTGAAAATTAACATACAACCCATCTGAACCATCCATGTGAAAATATACTCCTGCCTCGCCCCAACAGGTCTGGAGGAAGCTTTCAGGGTGCAGGACCCTGTGCAGGGCAGGCCCTGGCACAGATGAATGCATCTTTGCCACCAGACCCCTCTGAGTAGGATGAGGCTAGAGCATAAAGCACGGCCACCCAGTGTCTCACACCATGCCTGCCAACCTAGCTCCATACCCACCTTACACTTTTCAAATGCTGAGGCCCTAAGCTTAATATTAACAAGGAGCACACACTCTACAGCAGTGGTTCTCCACCTTGGCTACACACTAGATTTGTCTGGGAATCTTGACAGCCTTGCTGCCCAGCTCAAAACAGATCAATCCCTGGGCCTGGGCCTGGGCAGCAGCCTTTAAATCTCTGCAAGTAGGTCCACTGAGCACACAGTTGAGAAAAGGCTACTCTAAAGAAAGTTTAGGAAATACCTCATGGTATTTCCTCCTCCACCTGCCCATCACATTGCCCACTTCCTTACAGAAGCCAGGCCTGGGTGTGGAAGTTGGCAGTGAAGGGTGTCCCTGCTGCATTCAAGGGTCTTTTTTTTTTTTTTTTTGCCACTCCACGGCATGCAGGATCTTAGTTCCTTGACCAGGGATTGAACCCATTCCCCCTTCAGTGGAAGCGTGGAGTCTGGGAAGTCCCTTAAGGGTCCTTTCTACCACCTCCCAGCTCAGAGCACAGCCAGCAGCTCTTCTGAGGGGGACTGGCCTGCAGAACCGTGTGGAAGCTGAGAAGGGAGCAGTGTCTAGGGACCAGGGACAGGGATGAATCCAAAAAAGAAGAACAGACCCCAATCAGCAGCAGAAGCTATCAGCTTAGGATGCCCCGGCTCTGCTTCTAGCAAGAAAAGGATTAGTGCATGCTAACCAACAATGCCATATCTGGCTGTTTAACTGTAAAGACTAGTGCTTCCCAATCCAGACAAAGGCAGAAGAAATGTGATTAAGTTTATAGAGTCATGAAGAATATGGTAGTATAAACAGTGAATCTGAGCACCCCAACATTTCAATCTTGAAAGATGTAATTTTTAGACTAATAAATGGAATTGCTATTCTCATATAAAATTACAAAGCCAGGGCTTCCCTGGTGGCGCAGTGGTTGAGAGTCCGCCTGCCGATGCAGGGGACACGGGCTCATGCCCTGGTCCGAGAAGATCCCACATGCCGCGGGGAAGCTGGGCCCGTGAGCCATGGCCACTGAGCCTGCGCGTCCGGAGCCTGGGCTCCATAACGGGAGAGGCCACAACAGTGAGAGGCCCACGTACCAAAAAAAAAAAAAATTACAAAGCCAGTTCCTAGAACACTAATGATATAAACAAATCCCAGCAAGGCTGAGACAACCCTCAGCTGCCCAGGTTATACAGGGATGCTGAGAACGTGGGTGCCATCATCAGAGAGTGCAGTGACATGCTGGAATTTGGCACATTGTGAGATGATTTTCAAACCAGTGTCAGCAGCAGAGCTGCCCTGGTTGAAGTGGGGTGGGTGTGAACTGCTTCTTGCCCCCTGAGGTGTCCTAGGGCTGGGTTGATTTTAGCATGTGCTACAGTTTACAATGCCCTCCATCCCACATTTACCATCAGAAGAACCCTTAGGTACTGGAAGATGCTATGCTCCCTGTGCAGGCACGCTGAGTCCAGCATCCCTCTCCCTCAAATCTATATTTGCACGTTGGCCATGACTGTGTAGTCAAGCTTGCAGAAGCCTGAGCAACAGACTGACTTGTGACACTGCAGGCCAATCCATGGGGTGCTGCCCGCTGTCTGCTCCTCTCTAACCTTCATTCTCCTCTCCCCACCCCACACTCCAACTCCCTCCTCCTCTGAGGGTCACTACTCTTCCAACAACAAAGGTATTGCACAGAATTAGTCCTGAGCTCTGGAAGTAGCCCCTCGCTGGTGACATTGAACTTGCTGTGTCTCATGCCTCAAGTGCAGCAGAATCTCTTATCTGGCAGAATCCTCAGAACACTAGTTTGGGTTAATCTCTTTGATGGTACAACCCAGATCAGTGCAGCTGAAGTGACTTGTCTAAAGGTCCTCACTACCTAGCTTCCCAGAAACCACCAGCCATACCTGTGTCCCCTCAGTCTCCCAAGGACCAGCCAGCACCAGCACATGATGTGTCTAACCACATGATATGCTGGGAACCATCTTTAAAATAAAGAACATAAAGTCTAGATACAAGTGTACATCCATGACCTTGGAAGGGGCTGCACAATGACAGTCTGAAGCCCAAGCCCCAGGAGGCTCCAGGTTATCAGCCTGTGCTGCTCGGTTAATGTCAAAGGAAGTGGATGGAATTAAAAGGAGCAAAATAGAATCAAACGGAATTTCTCTTTCCCAAAGTTGCCTTGCAAGGCCTTGCCAGGTCCACTCCTTTCATGAGGAGCCTGCCAGAGCAGGACAGCAACCCCACCTCCCACTCTCTGGCTGAGTGCCCCACGGACCCCATGGACCAGAACTCCTGGCCCCTGATGGTCTCTCCCACAGTACACAAAGGCCCATGTGTGCTGACTCCTGCAGCATTTCTGCAACCACCACTGCCACTGTCACAGCCGTGCACACAGAGCCACAGTCCCAGTGGGTGTGCAGGCCAGACCCAAGCACACGGGTGAAGGGCAAGGTCAGCAGCCAGCATGCGCTGCTGTGAGCCTGGCCTGAGGCCCACAAGGTGCCACTCTGCCTACCTTATGGTCACGGGAGTGAAGAGGAGCGCTGTGGTGACGTTGTCCAGGAAGGCAGAAAGGACGGCGACAATGAGACACAGCATGATGATCATGGCCCACACTCTTCCCCGGGACAGTTTGTATGCCTGCAGCACAATAAAGAACAAGCCAGGATCAGCAGGGTCAAAGAACAGATGCAACATTTCATTAGGGTCTCTAAAACTAAGGGTCTAAATAAACATTGCATGAAGAATTAAAACTCCTAAATGTGCTGAGATGAGGCAGTAATGGCTGGACCTGCACATTCTAAATCTACCCTGGCCTATGTTCCTTCCTTCAGATTCTCCTTCTCGGTGCCCTGTGGTGGTCAATCTGTCACAAGGGGACGGCCTGTCACCCCTGCATCCCCTAATCTTTTACACACTCCTTTTGGTTGGACAGCTTGGGCTGTGACTTTGGGATCCACCTGACCCTAGAGTCTGCTGATCTTTGGGGATCTAGGGGTTACTTTCAGTACCAAGGCATTGTGAGGAAGAGGCCAGATAGCACCTGGGAGGTACAAGGTGGTGCACAAATATGGCAAAAATCACAGAATTGTTCTATCATTCAAGGTTTGGAAAGGACTTTGTAAAGTAAATAATTTTTTTAAAGAAATTTTCAGTTCCAAATTTTAAAAAGTCAAGCCCAGCACTAGTCTTTCGTTAGCAGAGCACAACAAGATGTCTTCCTGCCAACCCTAAGTAATAGGACCAATACAAATTCTTTGTTTGTTTTTGTTTTTTTGTTTTTTAACATCTTTATTGGAGTATAATTGCTTTAAAAGGTTGTGTTAGTTTCTGCTGTATAATGAAGTGAATCACCTATATGTATACATATATCCCCATATCCCCTTCCTCTTTTTTTTTTTTTCCGGTACGCGGGCCTCTCACTGTTGTGGCCTCTACCATTGCGGAGCACAGGCTCAGGACGCACAGGCTCAGGGGCTATGGTTCACGGGCCCAGCCGCTCCGTGGCATGTGGGATCTTCCCGGACCGGGGCACGAACCCGCGTCCCCTTCATCGGCAGACGGACTCTCAACCACTGCGTCACCAGGGAAGCCCTCCCTTTCCTCTTGCGTTTCCCTACCATACTCCCTATCCCATCTCTCTAGGTGGTCACAAAGCACCAACCTGATCTCCCTGTGCTATGCAGCTTCTTTGCCCTAGCTATCTATTTTATATTTGGTACTGTATATATATTAATGCTACTCTCTCACTTCATCCCAGCTTACCCATCCCTGACCTGTGTTCTCATGTCCATTCTCTACGTCTGCATCTTTATTCCTGTCCTGCCCCTAGGTTCTTCAGAATGATTTTTTTTTTTTTGGATTCTATATATATATATATATATATATGATAGCATACAGTATTTTTCTCTTTCTGACTTGCTTCACTCTGTATGACAGGTTCTATGTCCATCCACCTCACTACAAATAATTCAATTTAATTTCTTTTTATAGTTGAGTAATATTCCATTGTATATATGTGACACATCTTCTTTATCCATTCATCTGTCAATGGACACTTAGGTTGCTTCCATGTCCTGGCTATTGTAAATAGTGCTACAATGAACATTGTGGTACATGACTCTTTTTGAATTATGGTTCTCTCAGGGTATATGCCCAGTAGTGGGATTGTGGTGTCATATGGTAGTTCTATTTTTAGTTTTTTAAGGAACTCCATACTGTTCTCCATAATGGCATTCCCACCAACAGTGCAAGAGGGTTCCCTTTTCTCCACACCCTCTCCAGCATTTATTGTTTCTAGATTTTTTTGATGATGGCCACTCTGACTGGTGTCACGTGATAACTCATTGCAGTTTTGATTTGCATATCTCTAATGATTAGTGATGTTGAGCCTCCTTTCATGTGTTTGTTGGCAATCTGTATATCTTCTTTGGAGAAATATTTATTTAGGTTTTCTGCCCAGTTTTAGATTGGGTCGTTTGTTTTATTGATATTGAGCTGCATGAGCTGCTTGTATATTTTGGAGATTAATCCTTTGTCCATTTCTTCATTTGCAAATATTTTCTCCCATTCTGAGGGTTGTCTTTTCATCTTGTTTATGTTTCCTTTGCTGTGCAAAAACTTTTAAGTTTCATTAGGACCCATTTAGTTATTTTTGTTTTTATTTACCTTTCTCTAGGAGGTGGGTCCAAAAGGATCTCCTTGCTGTGATTTATGTCATAGAGTGTTCTGCCTATGTTTTACTCTAAGAGTCTTATAGTGTCTGGCCTTATATTTAGGTCTTTAATCTATTTTGGGTTTATTTTTGTGTATGGTGTTAGGAAGTGTTCTAATTTCATTCTTTTACATGTAGCTGTCCAGTTTTCCCAGCACCACTTTTTGAAGAGGCTGCTTTCTCTCCATTGTATATTCTTGCCTCCTTTATCAAAGGTATGGTGACCATATGTGTGTGGGTTTATCTCTGGGCTTTGTATCTTGTTCCATTGATCTATATTTCTGTTTTTGTGTCAGTACCATACTGTCTTGATTACTGTAGCTTTGTAGTTTAATCTGAAGTCCAGGAGCCTGATTCCTCCAGCTCCGTTTTTCTTTCTCAATATTGCTTTGGCTATTCGGGGTCTTTTGTGTTTCCATAAATATTCTGAAATTTCTTGATCTAGTCCTGTGAAAAATGCCATTGGCAGTTTGATAGGGATGCACTGAAGCTATAGATTTCTTTGGGTAGTATAGTCATTTTCACAATGTTGATTCTTCCAATCAAGAACATGGTATATCTCTCCATATGTTTGTATCATCTTTAATTTCTTTCATCAGTGTCTTATACTTTTCTGCATACAGGTCTTTTGTCTCCTTAGGTAGGTTTATTCCTAGGTATTTTACTTTTTTGTTGTAATGGTAAATGGGAGTGTTTCCTTAATTTCTTTCAGGTTTTTCATCATTAGTTCATAGGAATGCAAGAGATTTCTGTGCATTAATTTTTTATACTGCTACTTTATCAAATTCATTGATTAGCTCTAGTAGTTTTTTGGTAGCATCTTTAGGATTCTTTATGTATAGTATTATGTCATCTGCAAACAGTGACAGTTTTACTTCTTCTTTTCCAATTTCTCTGATTGCTGTGGCTAAAACTTCCAAAAGTATGTTGAATAGTAGTGTTGAGAGTAGGCGACCTTGTCTTTTTCCTGATCTTAGAGGACGGTTTCAGTTTTTCAGCATTGAGAACGATGTTGGCTCTGGGTTTGTCATATATGGCCTTTATCATGTTGAGGTGGGTTTGCTCTATGCCTACTTTCTGGAGGGATTTTACCATAAATGGGTGTTGAATTTTGTCAAAAGCTTTCTCTGCATCTATTGAGATGATCATATGGTTTTTCTCCTTCAATCTGTTAATATGGTTTATCACATTGATTGATTTTCATATGTTGAAGAATCCTTGCATTCCTGTGATAAACCCCACTTGGTCATGGTGTATGATCCTTTTAATGTGCTATTGGATTCTGTTTGCTTGTATTTTGTTCAGGATTTTTGTATCTATGTTCATCAGTGATATTTGCCTGTGGTTTTCTTTTTTTGTAACATCTTTGTCTGGTTTTGGTATCAGGGTGCTGGTGGCCTCACACAATGAGTTTGGGAGTGTTCCTCTCTCTGCTATACTTTGGAAGAGTTTGAGAAGGATAGGTGTTAGCTCTCCGCTAAATGTTTCATAGAATTCGCCTGAAGCCATCTTGTCCTGGGCTTTTGTTTGTTGGAAAATTTTAATCACAGTTTCAATTTCAGTCCTTGTGATTGGTCTGTTTATATTTTCTATTTCTTCCTGGTTCAGTCTTGTAAGGTTGTGCTTTTCTAAAAATTTGTCCATTTCTTCCAGATTGTCCATTTTATTGGCATATAGTTCTTGTAGTAATCCCTCATTATCCTTTTTATTTCTTGCAGTTTCAGTTGTTACTTCTCTTTTTCGTTTCTTAATCTGTTGATTGGAGTCTTCTCCCTCTTTTTCTTGATGAGTCTGGCTAATGGTTTATCAATTTTGTTTGTCTTCTCAAGGGACCAATTTTTAGTTTTATTGATCTTTGCTATTGTTTCTTTCATTTCTTTTTCATTTATTTCTGATCTGATCTTTATGATTTCCTTCCTTCTGCTAACTTTGGGGGTTTTCTTCGTTCTTCTTTCTCTACTTGCTTTAGGTGTAAGGTGAAGTTGTTTGAGATGTTTTTTTGTTTCTTGAAGTAAGATTGTATTGCTATAAACTTCCCTCTTAGAACTGCTTTTGCAGCATCCCATAGGTTTTGGGTCGTCGTGTTTTCATTGTCATTTGTTTCTAGGTATTTTTTGATTTCCTCTTTGATTTCTTCAGTGATCTATTTGTTATTTAGTAGTGTATTGTTTAGCCTGCATGTGTTTGTATTTTTTACAGTTTTTTTCCTGTAATTGGTATCTAGTCTTACAGCGTTATGGTCTGAAAAGACACTTGAGACAATTTCAATTTTCTTAAATTTACCACAGCTTTATTTGTGACCCAAGATATGATCTATCCTGGAGAATGTTCCATGAGCACTTGAGAAGAATGTATTCTGTTGTTTCTGGATGTAATGTCCTATAAATATCAATTAAATCCATCTTGTTTAGTGTATCATTTAAAGCTTGTGTTTACTTATATATTTTCATTTTGGATGATATGTCCATTGGTGAAAGTGGGGTGTTAAATTTCCCTGCCATGATTGTGTTACTGTCGACTTCCCCTATTATGGCTGTTAGCATTTGCCTTATGCATTGAGGTGCTCCAATGTTAGGTGCATAAATATTTACAATTGTTATATCTTTTTCTTTGGATTGATCCCTTGGTCTTTATGTAGTGTCCTTGTCTCTTGTAATAGTCTTATTTTAAAGTCTATTTCGTGTGATATGAGTATTGCTACTCCAGCTTCCTTTTAATTTGCATTTGCATGGAATATGTTTTTCCATCCCCTCACTTTCAGTCTGTATGTGTCCCTAGATCTGAAGTGGGTCTCTTGTAGACAGCATATATATGGGTCTTGTTTTTATATCCACTCAGGCAGCCTATGTCTTTTGGTTAGAACATTTAATCCATTTACCTTTAAGTTAATTATCAATATGTATATTCCTATTACTGTTTTCTTAATTGTTTTGAGATTGTTATTGTAGGTCTTTTCCTTCTCTTTTGTTTCCTGCCTAGAGAAGTTCCTTTAGCATTTGTTGTAAAGCTGGTTTGGTGGTGCTGAGTTTCTTTACTTTTGCTTGTCTGTAAAGTTTTTCATTTCTCCATCGAATCTGAATGAGTTCTTTGCTGGGTAGAGTAATCTTGTTTGTAGGTTTTTCTCTTTCATCACTTCAAGTATGTCCTTCCACTCCCTTCTGGCTTACAGTTTCTGCTGAAAGATCAGCTGTTCACCTTATGGGGAGTCCCTTGTATGTTATGTGTTTCTTTTCCTTTGCTGCTTATAATTTTTTTTTTCTATTTAATTTTTGATAGTTTGATTAATATGTGTCTTGGCATGTTTCTCCTTGGACTGATCCTGTATGGGACTCTCTGAACTTCCTGGACTTGACTGACTATTTCCTTTCCCGTGGTAGGGAAGTTTTCAACTATAATCTGTCAAATATTTTCTCAGACCCTTTCTTTTTCTCTTCTCCTTCTGGGACCCCTGTAATTTGAATGCTGGTGGGTTTAATGTTGCCCCAGAAGTCTCTGAGACTGTCCTCAATTCTTTTCATTCTTTTTTCTTTATTCTGCTCTGTGGTAGTTAGCTCCACTATTTTATCTTCCAGCTCACTTATCCATTCTTCTGCCTCAGTTATTCTGCTATTGATTCCTTCTAGAAAATCTGTAATATCGTTTTGTGTTATTCATCAATGCTTGTTTGCTCTTTACTTCTTCTAGGTCCTTGTTAAACGTTTCTTGCATTTTCTCCCATCTATTTCTGATATTTTGGATCATCTTTACTGTAATTACTCTGAATTCTTTTTCAGGTAGACTGCCTATTTCCTCTTCGTTTGGTCTGGTGGGTTTTTACCTTGCTCCTTCATCTGCTGCATATTTCTCTGTCTTCTCACTTTGTTTAACTTACTGTGTTCGGGGTCTCCTTTTTGCAGGCTGCAGGTTCACAGTTCCTATTGCTTTTAGGGTCTGCCTCCAGTTGGTGAGGCTGGTCCAGTGACTTGTGAAGCTTCCTGGTGGAGTGGACTGGTGCTTGTGTTTTTGTGGGTGGGGTGGATCTTTTCTCTCTCGTGGGCAGGGCTGCTTCTGGTGGTCTGTTTTGGGTTGTCTGTGAACTTAGTATGATTTTAGGCAGCCCCTCTGCTAATGTGTGGTGTTGTGTTCCTGTCTTGCTAGTTGTTTGGCATGGTGTGTCCAGCACTGGAGATTGCTGGCTGTTCGTGGAGCTGGGTCTTCACATTCAGATGGAGAGTTCTGGAAGAGCTCTTGCCATTTGATATTATGTGTGGCTGGTAGGCCACTGGTGGTCCAATGTCCTGAATTTGGCACTCCCACCTCAGAGGCTCAGGCCTGACACCAGGTCGGAGCACCAAGACCCTGTCAACCACATGGCTGGGGTCAAGTGAAAGAGGCCCTAAACCATCAAAAGCTATATCCAATATCCAGCTGGGAGATCTGAGCGGCATGAGCGTGGGCTTGTCTGTGGTATGGCTGCTGGGCACAGGCGGGGTTTTCAGCCAGGTCCAGTACAAATTCCGCCAGTCAGAACTTGCTGGTAGATTCCTCAGAGTATATGGGGGTATATGTATACGTATAGCTGATTCACTTCATTATACAGCAGAAATTAACACAACAATGTAAAGCAATTATACTCTAATACAGATTTTTAAAATAATTAATTAATTAAATACAGTAAAAAAAAAAAAAAAAAGGAATGTTTATATGCTCAATGTTTAGAAAGTAATCATTGAAATTATTTCACCAAAAAGTGGGGTAATCAGAAGCTGATGATTTAAAATATTTGGATACTCTGAAGTGCAAAACAGTTTTGATGCATAGCTCTCAACCTGCCAATTTGAACCCTGTCATACAAACACTCAACTCAAGTACTTTTCTCCTTGATCCTCTTCTTTGGTTATTTGTTGAGAAGCTGAAAGTGTTGCTCAGAGGCACCTAACTTAGCACAGCAACTATATCCAGCTTTTCAGCAGTGATTTTGAAAAGGAGGACAGAATATTAAAATATTGGCTTTAAATGGTAGTTTTATTCACTAAATATGTAATGGTGGAAAAATAAATATGTCAATTAATTAATACGTAACTATTAAATGCCACATCAAACTTACCTTTACAGCACAATAATCAAAAAATCCAGTCTCTGAAAATATGGCTACTAAAATCATCTGTGGGGAAAAGAGTAAAAGGAGACAAGGAGAATGTTTCAGCATTCAGCACCATCCTGAAATGACACCAGAGTGATCACTTTCAAATCTGATCTCTGGCCTCTGCGTGAAAGCTACCACCTCATCAAGCTTCTCACTCTCTTGATGAGTGTGGGTCACTTACTAACTCCCTGAGTCAAGTCCCTTGCTAGTGGGTTTGCACCTCTATATTTGTCCAGGGATATGTGCCCAAGGTACATTATCATTCTACCTGATCTTGACAGTGAACACTGTGTTATAATTACTCTCTGTCTTATAGACCAGGAAACTGGCAGGCAGAGACGGAAGGTGACTCACTCACAGTCACAAAGCTAGAAACAGGGAACGAAATGGGACAGAATGTGGCCTTCTACACCTAAATGTCCATACAAGCAACAATTCAATGTTTTAAGAGTTTTAAACTGGCTTAAATTTTGTTTCCTAAAATAATTTAACAGATTTTTGTCACCAATTTGATCAAGACAAGCAAATAAGAGTAGTTACATTGAAATGATTATTCTCTGGGTTCTATATGAACCCAGAAGGCCTACTCAATTGCGTTTTTCTACTGATGACACTGAGTTGGTGAGAATAATCATCCTAGATAGTAACAAAAAGTAATGTCCCATTTATTCTAAGTCTAATCAACCAGACATATCAACCAGCCTGAACTTTCTGGAAGATTCTCTATTCTACCTCCTTAGATGGTGACGTACCACGTGCTGAACTTGGAGTGAGAAGACGCAGGTTCAAATATCAATTCTGCTACTTAGGAGTAATGTAATTTTGAACAAAAATTTTATTTAATTCTCTGTACTTTGGTTTTCTCACTTCATCTCTAAATGTCTGTTCCTTGTAAGGTTGTTGTGGAAATTCAATAGCATTATGTAAACTAAAGTACTTAGAAAAGAGTGGGCCCAATACTGTCTTTCAAATAAACAGTGCAAAACGAAAAATGTCCAGAAATTAATTTAGACTCAGTACAAATATCTACCTTGTCTAGCATGACCAACAAGATTCATCCTAACCCAAATGGCCACTGTGAGGCCATTTATAGAATGTGGAGCTTCACACACCAATGGAAGCTTCACATGAACGTGGATGGGTAGGTCCTGTGTGGTCTTCCACTGTCATGGTGAAGCTGTTCCACACGTCAGCTGCCAGAACCACCCAGGAGATGCTGGAACTCAGGGACTGGGTAAGTGGCCACATGGGTGGTTGACTGGCATGCAACAGGGTGGAAAGGGCAGGGGCCTAGTTATATAGACTGTCTCTGCACCCCGCAAAGTTCTACCAATTCCATTTGAGAAAAAAAATTAAACCACTCATTTTAAAAATTCTAACCACCCCCAGTAGCTCCAAATGTAACTATATTAAGAAGGTAATTAAAGTGAAGCCCTGGGCTTCCATGGTGGCGCAGTGGTTGAGAGTCCGCCTGCCGATGCAGGGGATGCGGGTTCGTGCCCCGGTCCCGGAAGATCCCACATGCTGCGGAGTGGCTAGGCCCGTGAGCCATGGCCGCTGAGCCTGCGCATCTGGAGCCTGTGCTCCGCAACGGGAGAAGCCACCAACAGTGAGAGGCCCACATACCGCAAAAAAAAAAAAAAAGTGAAGCCCTAACCCAGTATGACTGGTGACCTTATAAGAAGAAGAGATGAGGACACAGATATGCCCAGAGGGACAATCATGTGAGGACACAGGGAGATGATCATCTACAAGTCAAGGAGAGAAGCCTCAGAGGAAACCAACCCTGCCAACACCTTGATCTCAGACTTCCAACCTCCAGAACTGTGAGGAAATACAGTTCTGTTGTTTAAGTCACCCAGTCTGTGGTACTTTATTATGTCAGCCCCAGAAAACTAATACACCAATCATTTAAGTTTTTTTTAAAACCTATTTTATAAGCCATCTGGTATGCCTTCCTTCTTCTTTCCATAGGCCCAAACCCTATACACTTCAGTACCCAATACATTCGTTCCTCTATGAAGCCTGAGTTCAGAGCACTGACCTGCCTCCCACTCCACCCACAGAGTAGGCAGCCATTTCGGGCCACACTGAAGCCTAGAGCAGCAGGGCCCTCCATGGTGCTAGGGCAGAAAGAATATTAGCAAGGAGGTGAGGGCATGTGGTGACCTGCTTTACACAGTGTGAGTCTTCTAGCCCTGAGAGGAAATACCCTCCTCAAATCACAGCTGCTGTGGGTCTGTTCAAGAGTGCAATAGCCATTCCCACTGCTGTCCAGACACCTGTCAAATTCCACTTATTCCAGTTAAGTTTGTTTATGACTCATGTACCACACTAGCTCACTATTGTGTCTTAAAGTTCCCTTCCTACAAGTTCATTTGGTGACACTCTTCATAGCACACAGTAGAGGGGCCACTTGAAAATGTCTGTTTAACAGCACATATACAAACAATTACTTAGGGACAATTTCTTCATTTCTTCCTTTATCCATATAATTAAAGGTACTTTTCCAATCCTGAAAACCTTAAATGGTTCATCTGTTTAGGATATTCCGTTTTATATTTTAAGTACAGTAACTTTTAAAAATTTCTAAATTTTCTGAATGGCAAGATTATTTCACTGTCAGACAGGACTTAGGCTGAAATTTTACAGCTAACTAATCAAAGCACCAATCACTCCATTCCTCCTCAGAAGAAATCAGCTAGACCTGCACAAACACTTCTCAATCAAGCCCTAATTGTCAAGCATCACATTGTCTTTAAGAGTCAGCAGTGGCAAAAGAGAAGGTCCAAGGTTACAGCAAGCTTGGGGCCCTGTCCCACTGGGAGGACTGTCATTACCATGCCAAACAGCAGGGCCAGAGTCTCGAAATCAATCCACTCCACCACGTGGGTCAGGCTAGGTCTCTGCAATCAAAGCACAAATTTGCCAATTAGTCCTGGGCATCATCCTCCTGGTGATAAACTGTAAATATGTGCCACCCTTTACAGAAAACCCACTCATTGGACCAGAGTCGAAAGTCACACCATCTGCTTGCCTTCAAAATCAGATTATATCATCACTGAAAAACACTCGTGACCCAAAGCATAATAACGTCAAACCTATGCACTTGACAATTAAAAAAAAGCAGATTTCTTAAGCCCCGTCCATGTCCTTAAGGGAAGGTAGAATCATGGGGGACTGGGAACCCAGACTGGGAACTGAGGGCACTTGGAGAGCCTGGTTGTTGGAAAAGGACTGCACAGTGGTCCAGGGAGTTTCCTGCAGCACAAGCCATGTGCCACGTCAATGGTTTCTAGAATGAAATAACTACTACTACACTACTCCTTAACAATTAATAAAAATAACAATGGCTTACGTGTAAGTTTTAGGATTCTGGGACATTCTACCCTTAGAGTTAATGTTTGTTTATACCAACTCTAGTCAAGAAAAAGAAAATTAAAAAACAATAAATAACTAACTGAACATAGCCCCAGTTATTATTCTTTGGTTGACTGATTGCCCTTTAGTAGCACTTTTCAGAACAATCTCTGGAATTCTACAGAGTTGCTTTCAATCCTAAGTTCTGTATGTTGCCACCTTGGTCAGTTCCAGCACTACTCCTCAAGATGGAGGCTCCACAGGCTCCACTTGGTCTCTCTTGCTTCCCTACATTCATTCCAATATCCCTGCAGGATGGACCACACGCAGACCCTGAGGGGTTGCTATTCCCCCCAGACTTGCACATCCAGGGACCTCCTGATGTCTGCAGGACAGAGCCCCAAACTCACTGTCTCCCACCTCACTGCTCCAGCCAGGATGGCCTCCTCTGGTTTCCATGGGCTGACAGTACATAGGGCCAGCTCTAACATAACTCAGCTGCATGACCTGGGCAAATTCTTGACCACCATGAGTCAAGCGTTTCCTCAGCTAGGGTGGAGAATAACACCACTGGGATGTGTGTGATAAAGTCAAATGTTAATTACTCATCAATGCTGTAAAGTTCATGCCACTAATGGGAAATGTGAAAGAGTATATAAAAAAAGTAAAATCACCAGCTAATGCCTGATTCTTGGACTGTCTTTGAATCTGCCATTCTATTGAGTGCTAAGCCATTGACTCAAAATGTTACACTTACATCTCCAATCACAGCCAGCGCTGCTAATGCCGCAAGGGAACCCAACATGGCTGCCAGTGTTCTGTGAACAATCTGGAAAGAAACATAGAAAATTTCTGCATTCTAATCCACAGGACGTTAAAACACACAGAAAGGGACTTCCCTGGTGGTCCAGTGGCTAAGAATCCACCTTCCAGTGCAGGGGAAGTGGGTTTGATCCCTGGTCGGGGAATTAAGATCCCACATGCCACAGGAAAACTACGCCCACACGCCACAACTAGAGAGCCCATGTGTTGCAACTACAGAGCCCACGCACTCTGGAGCCCGCACACTGCAACTACTGAGCTTACGCACTCTGGAGCCTGCGCACCACAACTAGAGAGAAGCCTGTGCACCACAACTAGAAAGAAGCCCACATGCCACAATAAAGAGCCCACAAACTGCAATGAAAGATCCCATGTGCCGCAACAAAGACCCAATGCAGCCAAAAATAAATAAATATTTTTTAAAATAAATAAAACACACAGAAGCCTCTATCAGTATAAGTATTTGTGAAGATTGGCCATTTTATACCATATCTGTTAGGACAATAAACAAAACGTGGGTTTCTTTGTTTCAGAGTCTGGATGCCCTAGAGACACACACAACCATCATCAGTCTGCTTTCTAAAGAAAGATTTCCTGCATAATTAGATGACCCTGAAGTAGAAGCTCGATAAAGTTTGTTCTATAAGGAAGCCTGCAGTAAATTATCATTAATTATTTACCATATAATCCATAGGCAACTGGAGAATTAGTTCCATAATATAAATCAATTCTGCCCAATTACTGAGACTGTTATAAAATGTTTAATCTGACTGAAACTTCAGTATTACCACTGAACCAGGAAAATACTTTTTCTATTTAATTATAATTCAAGTGGGCATGGAATTTCTAAGGCAAAATATAAAGAAAGGCAAAGATGCAGAGAATTTGAAAGCCTCAAACATTGCTGGTGCGAATGTAGAATGGTGCACCCTGAGCCGCAGCTGTTACCTTGGACCCCAGAGACTGCTGCCACTGCTGCTAAGGACCCTGTGTGCAAGGCAGGTCTCTTCCCACACCTTCCCGTAAGCCTCTGCAGCCAGCCACTGCCTTCCAACTTCCTTGGAAGAACACATGGCATGCCTCGGGCTCTTGCAACTTCATGCCAGCCTCTACAGCCCACAGGCACTCCCCACATATCCCAATTATGACTGCTGTATCCCTCCCTCAGCCCCAACCTGAGTGAGCAAGGGAGCCCTAATCAGCCACTGCTTTTGCCTCCTCTTGCTTGGGTGGGGAACAGATGCCTGAGGGAAGCCCACACGCAGAGGTGGGGCCAAAACCAAGGCTGAAACCCAGGAGCAATGTGACCAAAGATGAGAAAGGGAAATATCCCTGTGCAGCTGCAGGAGCAGTGGATTAAATCCCCACAATCAGGTGGGTAAACCCTGCAGCTGTGGAATACCTGAATAGACAATGATGGTTCCCACAAGTGAGGCTGCAGACTTTGGGGGCAACTGTGGACTTTGTGGGCAAGTACCCATGGGTCAAGATCAGAGTATGAGCTGACCCCACAGTGCCCACAGCAGGTCCAGAGAACTACCTAGGAGTATTGGAGGACTTCCTGGGTAGGCAGGGGTTGGCTGTGGTTCACTGTGGAAGCAAGGACACTGACAGCTAAGGACACAGGAAAATATCACTACTTTTGTTTTGTTTTGTTTTGTTTTTTTGGTTCTGTTGTTCTTTTTCTTTATTATTATTATTCTTAATTTTACCTTTCTCTTTACTTTTTCTTTTCTTTTTATGCTTTTATTTTTAACATATTTTTATTTAGTTTTTCCTAATTCTACTGTACTTTTTCATTATATTGTTTTTTTCCTTGTTTGTTTTTTTTCCTTTGCTTTGCTTTCATTTTATTTTTAACTATATTTTACATTTTTCTATTTTTACTTTACTAGTTTGTTGTTTTGTATTTTTTCCTTCTGCTTTCATCTTTCTTTGTCTTTACATTTTTTGGATAGTTTTTGTGTGTTTGTTTTATGCTTTCATTGCTTTTTAAATTAGCTTTCTGCATTTGATATGTTTCTGGTTTTATGTTTGTGTTAGTTTAGTTTTTAGTGTTTGTTTTCATTTTTGAAATTGTTTACTGGTTTGGTTACTCTCTTCTTTTCTCTTTTTTTCTTTTTTTTTCTTTTTGTGAGTGTTTGTATATATGTTTCTTTGTGTGATTTTTGTCTGTTTGGTTTTGCTTTTACCATTTGTCTTGGGGTTTCATCTGTTCATTTTAAGGGGATCTTTTTTACTTTTGTTTTTGTTTTGTTTTGTTTTGTTTTTACTTCTTATTTTTCTTGTGCACCGTGTGGCTTGCAGGGTATTGGTGTGCTGGACAGGTGTCAGGCCTGAGCCTCCGAGGTGGGAGAGCCAAGTATAAGACATTGGATCACCAGAGAACACCTGGTTCCATGGAATATTTATTGATGAGATCTCTCCCAGAGGTCTCCATCTCAAAACTAAGACCCAGCTCCACCCAACAGCCAGCAAGCTGCAGTGATGACTGCCTCACACCAAACAACTAGCAAGACAGGAAAAAAAAAAAAAAACCCACCCATTAGCAGACAGGCTACCTAAAGTCATACTATGCTCACAGACACTGCAAAACAGACAAATGGACATGGCCCTTCCAATCAGAAGGACAAGATCCAGCTCCACTCACCAGAACAGAGTTTCCAGTCCCCTCCACCAGGAAGCCTACACAAGTCACTGGACCAACCTCACCAACTGGGCACAGACAAAAGAATTAAAAGGAACTATGACTCTACAGCTTGCAGAAGGAGACCAAAAACACAGTAAGTTAAACAAAATTAGGAGACAGAGAAATATGCAACAGATGAAGAAGCAAGGTAAAAACCCACCAGACCAAACAAATGAAGAGGAGATGGGCAGTCTAACAGAAAAAGAATTCAGAGTAATGATAGTAAAGATGATTCAAAATCACAGAAATAGAATGGAAAAAATATAATAAACATTTAACAAGTACCTAGAAGAACTAAAGAACAAATAAACAGTGATGAACAACACAATAACTGAAATTTAAAATACCCTAGAAGGAACCAAGAGCAGAATAACTGAGGCAGAAGAATGGATGAGTGACCTGAAAGATGAAATGGTGAAAATAACTGCCAAGGAGCAGAAAAAGAAAAAAGAATGAAAAGAATTGAGGAAAGTTTCAGAGAACTCTGGGACAACATTAAATGCACCAACATTCAAATTATAGGGGTCCCAGAAGAAGAAGAGTAAAAGAATGGGGCTGAGAAAATATTTGAGAGATTATAGTTGAAAACTTCCCTACCATGGGAAAGGAAATAGTCAATCAAGTCCAGGAAGCTCAGAGAGTCCCATACAGGATCAGTCCAAGGAGAAACATGCCAAGACACATATTAATCAAACTATCAAAAATTAAATACAAAGAAAAAATATTAAAAGCAGCAAAGGAAAGGCAAGAAATAACATACAAGGGAATCCCCGTATGGTTAACAGCTGATCTTTCAGCAAAAACTCTGCAAGCAAGGGAGGAGCAGGATGTATTTTAAATAATGAAAGGGAAAAACCTACAAACAAGATTACTCTACCCAAAAAGGATCTAATTTAGATTGGACTGGAGAAATTACAACCTTTACAGACAAGCAAAGTTAAGAGAACTCAGCACCACCCAACCAGCTTAACAACAAATGATAATGCAACTGCCCTAAGTGGGAAACACAAGAGAAGGAAAAGACCTATAAAAAAAAAAAAAACCAAAACAATTTTTAAAATGGTAATAGGAACATATATATCAATAATTACCTTAAATGTAAACGGATTAAATGCTCCAACCAAAAGACAAATACTGTCTGAACGGATATAAAAACAAGACCCGTATATATGCTGTCTACAAGATACCTACTTCAGATCTAGGGACACATACATACTGAAAGTGAGGGATGGAAGAAAATATTCCGTGCAAATGGAAATCAAGAGGAAGCAGGAGTAGCAATACTCATATCAGAAAAAATGGACTTTAAAATAAAGACTATTACAAGAGACAGGGAAGGACACTAAATAATGATCAAGGGATCAATGCAAGAAGATACAACAAGAGTAAATATTTATGCACCCAAAATAGAAGCATCACAATACTTAAGGCAAATATTAACAGCCATAAAAAGGAAACGCGACAGTAACACAATAATAGTAGGGGACTTTAAAACCCCACTTACACTAATGGAGAGATCATCCAAACAGAAAATAAATAAGAAAACACAAGCTTTAAATGACACATTGGATCAGATGGACTTAATTGATATTTATAGGACATTCCATCCAAAAACCACAGAATACACATTCTTCTCAAGTACATACGGAACATTCTCCAGGATAGATAACATCTTGGGTGACAAATTAAGCCTAGGTAAATTTAAGAAAATTGAAATCATATCAAGCGTCATTTCAGACCACAACACTATGAGACTAGATATCAATTACATGAAAAAAAAATCTGTAAAATATACAAACACGTGGAGGCTAAGCAATATGCTACTAAATAACCAAGAGATCACTGAGGAAATCGAAGAGGAAAACAAAAAAATACTTACAAACAAATGACAATGAAAACACGACAATCCAAAACCTATGGGATACAGCAAAAGCAGTTCTAAGACAGAAGTTTATAGCAATACAATCCTACCTAAAGACACAATAAAAATCTCAAATAACAACCTAAACTTACACCTAAAGCAATTAGAGAAGGAAGACTAAAAAAACTATAAGTTAGCAGAAGGAAACAAATCATAAAGATCAGATCAGAAATAAATACAAAAGGAATGAAGAAAACAATAGCAAAGATCAATAAAACTAAAAGATGGTTCTTTGAGAAGACAAACAAAATCGATAAACCATGAGCCAGACTCACCAAGAAAAAAAGGGAGAAGACTCAAATCAACAGATTAGAAATGAAAAAGGAGAAGTAACAACTGACACTGCAGAAATACAGAGGATCATGAGAGACTACTATAAGCAACTATATGCAAATAA